GACGAGCTTTTGAATGTAAATACCGCCAATGTTTCACATATTATGGGTATATTCAATACCAAATCCATGAACTATCAAGCGGTGGCAGATAAATCGAAACAACCTTCGTTATCGGAAATGACAGAAACAGCTGTGAAACTTTTGCAGCGCAATGAACAGGGTTATTTTGTATTTATCGAAGGTGGCAACATCGATACGGCTCATCATGAAAATAAGGCAGCCATGTCATTGGATGAAACATTGGAATTTGAGAAGGCCATTGAGTTAGCTTATGAAATGACAAACCCCGAGGAGACACTTATTGTAGTTACAGCTGATCATGGTCATGGTCTCACAATTAATGGTTATCCTGGTCGTGGTTCATCCATATTGGGTTTAAGTACACACGATGTCGGATCGGATGGTCTAAAGTACTCCGCACTCAGCTATCCATTGGGACGAGAGCAGTATATCGATGAAAGTGGCAAACGTGTGGACTTGGAAAAAATTCCCAGAAATATTGGTAAGAACACTTTTTGAAATATTTAATTAGTGAAGTACCTAATTTTATTTCTTTATTGGATTCTTAGAAACGGTGTATCCTAGTTACGTAAAATCCATTGCTGGTCATCATTCGGGCGAAGATGTTGGAATTTTTGCCACGGGACCATTTGCCCATTTATTCAGTGGGGTATTGCAACAACATACAATTCCACATTTGATGGCTTATGCCGCTTGCATTGGTGATGGACCAACTATGTGTGATGAACATGCTAATTGATCGATTTTAAAAATCTAGAATAGTATAGTATATTATTATAAACTAAAATAGATGTAAGATGAAAATTTTAATAACACAGTATTAATTGTTTAACCAAGATTATAAATACAAAGAAACAAAAGTAGATGAAAACAAGCAAATTGTATTAAAACCAGTAAGGAAAGTAGTAAAGTCGGGTATATTTTATACATGTATCCTAACAATTACATGTCTATGTTCTCACTTTCTCCAACCTATCCTAATTTTAATTTCATTCGAGCAGATTTAGAGCCGTCTGCGTAACATGGGGAAAATTTGTGGAAAACGATTTACACTCTATTCGGTACGCCGCGTTGTTATAAATATAATCTATATGTGGGAGCTTAATTAAAAATCGTAAATAAGTAACTTTTTGTTATTTGAATTTTTGTGATCATTTTGAATGTGATTTTAAGTGATTATTTATACTCTTTCGAGTCGAGCTTGATGATCTAAATTTTGCAATGAAAAGGAAAGCCAGGAGAAGAACCTACGTACCCACCATTATGCGACGCGTTTCGCCGTTGGTTAAGCGGCTCATCAGGCATATTGGGCTATGTGGCTTTACAAAGGTCGTACGTTGATAACTTGTATTTATTCCGCCCTGATGCGAAACTTGCATATGCGAATTAAATTCAAATTTGTCAAAGTTCGACATTTGTCTTCATTCTAGGAACAGTCCTTTTCAAAGCAGATTTTTGTTGTAGCGATGGATAATTAATCCACACACCTACAATTGCTTCCATGGTATACACATGTTTTTGCGCAACCGTTTTTGGAAGTGTGTTGATGGCTCAGAACGCTACAACAAAAATCTGCTTTGAAAAGGACTGTTCCTAGAATGAAGACAAATGTCGAACTTTGACAAATTTGAATTTAATTCGCATATGCAAGTTTCGCATCAGGGCGGAATAAATACAAGTTATCAACGTACGACCTTTGTAAAGCCACATAGCCCAATATGCCTGATGAGCCGCTTAACCAACGGCGAAACGCGTCGCATAATGGTGGGTACGTAGGTTCTTCTCCTGGCTTTCCTTTTCATTGCAAAATTTAGATCATCAAGCTCGACTCGAAAGAGTATAAATAATCACTTAAAAAAAAAGTAAATAAGTAACTATATTCATTTAAGGTCAAAAAATTGAATTCCATGAAATTGTGAAAAATATGAAAATAGTTAAAAAAAATGATGACCAAAATCTATATTGTCTTTTCTGGTCTATGACAAAATAAAGTGGTCAACGTTTCTATGCAATCAAAAATACAATAGCCATCAAGAGGTAAGAATTTATTTTTTAACGAATGCTTGGCTATACCTTTTTGTAGGGTCTTAGTAAACTACTCTGTACTCATTTAATATGCATATCAAAGGCAGACGATCTTATTAGATTACCTTTATTATAATTGAAAATAGTATCGAAATCACTCCCATTTTTTATGATTATATGAAATTGATATGAAATTGTTTATCAAGTTTATACTACCATTATAAATATAATTGTCATCAAATATGGTTCACTGCTATAACAGGCGTGTGGGCAACACGTTCTATGAATGAATGTTATCTGTTAAACAAAACAGATGTTGGCCCCGAATACACCCATTTTTATACACTACACAACTATGTTGTCAGGGTATTATAGCTTTGTGCAGCCCCAAAAGTTTGTAACGCCACGAAATATTGGTCCTAGACCCACCTTTAAGTATACCTATCGTCATATCTCGACTAGCTGAGTCGATCTAGACGTGGGTGTCCGTCCGTCCGTCGTCCATTATAATTTGTAAACACGATACTAGGGATAAGTAAATCGACTAATCGATTAATCGACTTTTTGTATTGAAAAGTCTAATGCCATGTACAGACGAGCGTTGTTCGCTCTCTCATTCGTTGTTCGACCCTTAATTATGAAGTAATTACTTAGTTCCCCATACAAAATTTTCTGAGCGAACACCGACTTTTGTACGTAGTTCAATTCAAATCACTCTCTGAATAACCAATAAATTTGTCCCATCCCTAACAATTGAGAGTATTTATCGAAAATAAATTAATTTTGACAGTTTGAAAATATTTATGAAATTTTCAAACTTTTTCAGTAAAATTGAAAATCATGAATGAAAAGTAAAAAATTGTAGAGTTTTTATATATGCAGCAGGATGTAAATTTTGTTTTCTACATAATGCAATATGCATTTCTTTTCCCTTGGTTCTAATTAGCGTACAAAACAAGAAACAAATGTGGGGAAACTCAAACAAAAAATTCTCCAAATTTTTATATGTGACAGTATGTGACATTTGAATTGAGAAAATATAAAAATGTATTAAAAACAACAACATTTTCAGAAAAAATGGAAAACATGAATGAAAAGTAAATATATATGGGTTCATACTATAGTCAGGAGAAAGAGAATTATTTTTTCTATTTAGATTCCTATGTAATTCACTAAAATATGTTACATTTTTGGTGTAAAACAAGAAACAAAAAGTTTGAAATAAAAACATCTGATGACATGAATTATGAATAGTGTTGTATGAACGGGTTAATTCATGTACGTAATTCTGAGAGCGAACTACGTTGTTCGAATGCCCGTCAGAACATGGCATAAAAGTCGAAGTCGACTTTTGACCTTTGAGAAAATCGCAAAGTCGACTTTTCAAGATCGACTTTCGATTTTATTCATAAATTCTTAGTTTATTATCACAAAGCCGAAATTGTCCAAAAATTACATATTTTTCATCTGTTGACAACAGTTCTTATAAAAAATTAAATTTTTATTCGATTTTGCTTTAGTTGGTAAAAGTCTAAAATCGATTTTGAATACGTTTGACAAAATCGAAAGATCGAAAAGTCGAATTTTAGGTCAGAGACAAAAATCGAAAAGTCTAAAAGTCGACTTTTGCGCTCGACTACGAAACCCTACACGATACAGGCCACAGTTATGGACCAATCTTCACGAAATTTTGGGACGAAATGGACCGCTCACTGGTTTATAGCATTATTGGTTTAGAACTGGAATTTGATACGTTTTAATATCACAATTATCTACAATTCTTTTACCCTTCACTACACTGTGGTACAGGGTATTATGACTTTTTACATCTGTTTGTGGCATGGAAATGAAAAAATATATGAAAGCTATATTTAAATCTGAACCTATTCCAACAAAACTTTACACACGTTAGGCTAGAATAATATCAATACTTTTTACAAAAATTGGTGGCAATCGGCCAAATGTTTGGTCTTTGGTGCACTATTTACTTATATAAGGGTGAACATATATATATGGGTCCAATATGTAAATCTTAACCGATTTTCTCCAATTTGAATAGAGATCGTCCTTGCGCCAAATATCATCCAATTCGGATCATAAATGTGACCTGTACTTCAATACATGGACGGACATGCATAAATAAACTCAGATTGTTATTCTATGCATATTCTCAAAAGAAAACATAAGTCAAGCTCGTTTCCTTTTGCGTGTTACAGACATATGCACAAAGACATAATACCCGGTACCACGATGGAGTGAAGGATATTAATATAATAAATACACTCTTCAGGTAATGATGTAGGATCCACTTGAAAGTAATGTCAATAATATATCTTCTGCAAATAAGACCAATATTGATCATTTTCTTGGAGTGGAACACATATCTAAATTTTCAAAATACTTTAAATTGTACGGCACCACCTAATGGGGGGGTTATTGATTAGATCTGGAAGGATTCTTTGCAACCCAATGAGAAGATACAATCTTAAAACCAGTAAGGGAAGTTCAAAAGTCGGGCGGGGCCGACTATATGATACCCTTCACCACTTTGGCTACATACAAGAGATGTTCATATCATTTTAATAGAGTAGACGTAGCACCTTTGGAGGACCAATGAAATGGAATCCGACGAAATTAACAGTGAGAAGTACATAGATATTTAAATTAAATTAAAACCAGTGAGCGGAGCAGTATAGTCGGACGGGGCCGACCATATGATACCCTACACAACTACCTCGAAAAGCAAAAATTCTGCGGTTCTCTATTCTGAGCTTGGGCAATATTTCGTGTTATTGGCACCCTTTTTACCGATTATAGATCAACAACTCCACTTCCTAACCCTGGCATATTTTCCAATTTTTCTTTCTTGAAGTGAATTTTTACGCCGTAAAATAAAAAAATGGTCACTTTAGGATTTGGTTGATTTTACTCTCGGTAAATTGACCGATCATCATCTAAACAGCCGTTCTAAGCAATTGGTCAGAAAGGTGAAGGGGATACCTTTTAACATATGAGATGTTCTGCATATAATAATTGCCTCTAGAGCGTCTAGAAAATCTGACAAAATTAAAGTTTTCGGTTCATTGCACCCACTGAATGAAATCTCAACTTCACGAAAACTATAGGCGTCGTCCTTGACCATAATCGGAACCTCATGTTCCGATTTCAAAGCGATCAGCGCCACATTTCCGTACTCTAATGGAGTAATACACTGCATAGCATAACTATAGACGCACCTTTAATTAAATTGGTATGTTTGTAGGAGGTAAAATACAGTTTGGTATTGGTGGTTTTCTGCATAGACATGACGAGTCACGATTTCCACACATGTTCTCGATCGGATTCTGGTCGAAAATTTTAATATTTTTCGATTTTAACCATACTTGAGTATGGCGACTTTTATGAACTGGCGCGTTGTCCTGCTGAAAAACGAGTCTTCATTGTTGCTGATTTCCCAAACTGGCTATAATTTGTCTTCCAAGACTTGAACGTACTCCATTGAATTCATCCGACAACTAAGAAATGTCAAATAAAGCTTTCCGTGGCTATAAAATGTTCCCAAGACCATTCAGGGACCGCCACCGAAATATCGTTTTAAGAAATATCGTAGTTCCTTCCGTAGATCTCTCTAATCGGCCAATTTTTGTCCGATTGGGAAGTTGCACCAAACTCCCAATTTTTGTAACGAAATTTGTCATAACCTATGGAATTGAG